CGGACATGAACCCCTTCGCCTGGTACCCGCCGCCCCCTCCGGGGCTCCCCCCGCCCGGGCTCCCCCCACCCCTTTTCTGTCCTCCGCCCCATTGGGAGCCTGGCTTCTGGGCTCCCACCGGGCCCTACCCGCCACCCAACAGCTACCCTCCTCCTGATAGCTACCCGCCGCCCAACAGCTACCCGCCCGCCGAGAACTACTCGCAGCCCAAGGGCTACTCCCAACCCGCCGACAGCTACTCTCAGCCCGCCGAGAATTACCCGCCCGCCGACAGCTACTCTCAGCCCGCCGACAGCTACCCGCCCGCCGACAGCTACTCTCAGCCCGCCGAGAATTACCCGCCTGCCGATAGCTACTCGCCTGCCGAGAACTACCTGCCTCCTGACAGCTACATGCCACCCGCTGCCTGGTACCCGCCAGCCTACAGAGAGCGACTAAAGGACGCGCATGGTGGTGAGGGACGTGGGAGAAGTCGTTACTCAGGCCCATGGACTCCTTCCCATCTCTCACTGGCGGGGACCCTGGGGCTGTCCCTAATCCTTGGGGGGTGGGAGACTCCCCCTCCCTCCCAAGTATCTGCTTCCCTGTCCGTGCTGGTTGAGCACCCCCAGCTTATCTCTCCCTCAGGCCCTTCCCTGCCACAACAGGCCCACAGAGGTAGCAAGGGGTCTATTTTAACAGCAGTATGTATAACTGGCTCTTTGGGGTTTGGGTTTTTTTTTGGAAGGTGGAAATGGCAGTTTCTCCCAGAAATGGCAAGCCGAACAAGCACCTGGGTTTAATAAACGCTTTCCAGAAGAAAATAACAAGCCAAAGGTATGGACTGGGGTCCCTAGCACAGGAAAGACATAGACCTGTTGGAAGAGGTCTAGAGGAGGGCCATGAAGGGCTACAGGGAGCTGGAACACCAGACTGAGGGAGTTGGAGTTGTTCAGCCTGGAGAAGAGAAGGCTCCAGGGAGACCTTATAGCAGTCTTTTCAATACTTAAAGGGGGTGATAGGAAAGACGGGGACAGTCTTTTTAGTAGGACCTGTAGCGATAGGACAGGGAGGATAGATGTAGATTGGACGTAAGGATTTGCAGTGAAGATGGTGAGACACTGGCACAGGTTGCCCAGAGAAGCTGTGGCTGCCCCCTCCCTGGCAGTGTTCAAGGCCAGGTTGGACGGGGCTTTGAGCAATCTGGTCTAGTGGAAGGTGTCCCTGCCCATGGTAAAATGTTTGAACTGGATAGTCTTGGAAGGTCCTTTCCAACCGAGACCATTCTGTGATGGTGGCAGTTATGTGGGACTTGCCCCGTGGTACTACAGAGACCCCATACTCTAACGTGCCTGCCCTTACAAGAGGACAAATTTATGACAATCAGACTGCAAATCTTGAGGCTGTTGTGAGAAAGATATGTTTCAACCAAATTCTGACACAAGTTTACTTTAGAAGAGCCCTTAACCATGGTGATGCCCAAGTGTCTAAATCATATTAGTGCTCTGTTATATCAGGAGGGCCAGACAGCCAGAACACCCTGATGGGTGCAGTGGGAGAAGGAAGGATCTCTACTGCCCTTCAGGCTCTTACATGCCATGTGAGAACAGGTGTGGTCTGACTTGATGGGGAAGAGATTCAGAGCTGTATCTCAGCCCTTGATAATTCTGTGCCAGCCTGGTATGTTTGCAGAAGCGATAATGGGAAGGTGGTCGTGGAAAAAGCTGAGTGCAGGGCACTTTGAAAGATTAGTGATTTGAACTTCACTTTCATGTTATGTTAATTTATTTTTGAAACTTTCGAGATATTTTAAGTGGTGGTTTTATTAACAAAAAGTATTTTACCCCTAATTTAAAATAGGAATACCTTGTAATCTTATAACTGCAGTCTTGAGGTGACTTCTTTTTTATTTTTCAGACCAAAAAGAAAAAAGAGCCAGTTTTCTCTCATTATTGTGATACCTGTGACCGTGGCTATAAAAACCAGGAGAAGTATGATGAACATATTTCACAGCATAAACAGGTGGATGAGTTTAGCTTGTTTTATTCACACTTTGATTTTTAAGTTTGTGTCTGATATGTAGTTAGCTGTAGTCACTCTCTGAATGGAAGACTTGGCAAAGAGATTCCAGAGCTACAAAAAGTGTTATCAGGGGATTTTTTCTGAATGCTGTGTGTAGGAAAGGTCTCACTTGTATTTTTGGTTTTATAGCTTCAGTCACTTTAATGTCTTTCTTGTGAAGTATTGTGAAGTGGTAGAAATTAATTCATTGACATCCATATAGCATGTAAAATTTTTGTGTGAAAAGACTTTGTGGAAAACATTTTAAAAATCCACTCCTTTATTGCAAAGAAGTATCAAAATTTGAAATTGGAGAGCCTTGCAAATCAGTCTCTTCAGTTAACTTCATGTTTTCTCCAATTATCAGATACATTGGCTTCACTGGTTATTCTAAAATCAGATGAAATTAAAAAGTACAGCTTACCTTCTTACTGTATTTACAATCATGTTTTGAAACTGGATTAAACTGGTTAAACTTTAAAAGTTCTGTTTAGGCATCTGACACTAAGTTTGAAGTGTGCTTGAATGCTTGTTTATATTTTGTTTGTGTAACTTGGTGTCTTAAGTTCACCCCCTTATCTTGCAGTGCACAGAAGAAGGTTGCAATTTCAGCGCACATGAGAAGATAGTTCAGATACACTGGAAGAACGTAGGTATCCCCCTGGGCCCAAAATATGAGTTTATGTAATCTTTAGAGGCTTGCTTTCATTCTTCTGGAGGGAAGATGTATCACCTTTGAGTAGAATCTGTTGTAAGGCAATATTGCAAATTAAAATACATTGAATACTATGGGTTTTTCTTAATGGATTCATTTTCTAATCACCATGTGCAGTCTCACCACTTTTGGAGATGAAAACTGTGATACTATAGTTGACAGAATGATGCTTTTTTTTTTCTTGTGGGTTTTTTCTTCCCGTTTAAACAACTATGAAATACTTTTTTTCTTAGGCACATGCACCTGGTGCTAAAAGAATAAAATTAGATAGTCCAGAAGAGATTGCTAGATGGCGAGAAGAAAGAAAAAAGTGAGTAAGACTTGTGATCTATTAATTTGTTTTGCTGTATTTTTCCTCTGTGATCATTAGATGATAACTGAAAGGCAGTGGCCGCATGTGCTTGCTGTTGCTGTTCCTTTGGCTCTGCAAAACTTCCATGGTAGTGGTCTGTATCAATGCCTGAGCCAGGAGGGTGTGAGCTGCAGAGACTGTAATCATTTGGATGATTATTACAGAAGGCAAGATACCAACTGAGGAGGAGGTCACTTTCTCTGATATTTGGTGTGGCATGTTAGGTCTCTTTAGCCCAATCACTGAGATATTTCAGGACTGAAACGTGTGTGTGTTTGCTTGGTGTTTTTTTAATAGCTAAGAAGCCTGGACTTACAGTACTGATTATAATTGTAATACATGCTGTTGTGTGCAAATTTCTACAGTTTGTCCCAGTAGACCCCAATGGGGAATATTCCTAATTTTTAAGAACTTTCTGCATTGGTTGATGCTTCTCTACTGAAAGAGAAGAGAATCCATGAATGATGCTGTCTTGGGTATTCTGACTCACATTGTACCTAGGGTGCAAGGTAAAGTTTGCATGTAAGCAGTATTTCTCACTAGCTCTCATTCTGTGATGTGAGGTCATATAACTTTTTTCCATTGACCAGCACTGAAGTGTTTAAAAATTCACACTGTACTTCCATAGACCTTATCCTACTTATTTTTATTTCCTCAGAGTTGAACAGATTAAGATCTACACTTTTCCAGCAGGTGAAAGATACTGTAGGCTTTCCTCACTTCTGTTCCTGCCTTAGAATATAGTCTTGTGAGTGATTAGTACATGGGTTTTATTTCTGTGACCAAGAGTCTTATATGCAGAGTGGGAAGCGATACAAATTTACTTTCTAGATCACTGGTGATGAGCTAGGGCAGTGTACTAGTCACCTGCTTTTTTTAAATTAAAATAAACCCAGTTGTCTGATGCAGTCTTACTGATGAATCCAGCTTGCATTTATGTCAGAAAGCAATGTTAATGCATTCTTGTTTTGAACCTGTCTTCCCTTAACAAGACTTTACACACTATCTTTGTGAAAAAAAAAAAATAACTGTAATGTATGGTAGAAGATTTTTTTTTTTGTCTACCATCACTTTTTGCTGTATTAAAAAGCAAAATTGCCCCCCATGTAAATTCATCCCTGCAAGTTTTAACTTTCTTTTGGACGTGGTTTTATCTTTTTCTGCAAATTTCATAAAGGCAAAGGGGAAGTCTTATCACTACATCAGCACATCACAGCAGTCAACTATTGTACCTACTGTTCATTTTTTACAAATGAAGATAATCTGTAGTTTCCTCTTTTTTTTTTTTTTTTTAGGGAAAACCAAACCAAACAGCTCATGTTGATCTGGAAAGAAAAATTGCTGTTCTTTTGTGTTTAAAATGCCATAGTTAACCAGACAAAAATTGCTTGTGATCTGTGCAAGTACAAGTTTGGTGTTAGATTAGTTGGTTCCAAAGTTTCCTTTTAATCAAAAGATACTTGAGAGCTTGGTTTTTATTTGCTTTCAGTCTATGTATTGCTGTCCTTTTTTTTTTTTTTTTTTCCCCCAACAGTGATACTTACCATGTCTTTATTACTTACAATATAAAGTGTTAACAGAGTTAGCAAAACTCAAAATGTCCTTAGATTTGTATGTCTGGTTGCCTACACTAACAGTAGCTCTAAGTGAAAAAAATCAATATGTAGTGTGCAGAGTCTTTGCTACTAATTTTCAAGTTTTCATACACTTCTTTTGGGAGGTGTTTGGGAGAGATCCTGTCTAGCAGCTGATGCTGAAATGTTGAAATCATGTTTAAGGTGCATTTGTCAGTACGTGCTCTACTGTATACTAGGATATTAGGAAAGCAGGAATTGAATGTCTAACCATGTTTTAGATACTGTTTACTTGGGGAATCTTGCAGTCACAACCACCACCCAAAACAGACAATATGGGATTAGGACCCTCTAAGCCAATGCCACTAGATGGAGTAGTGCTGTGTTTTGTTTTGGTACTTCAGTCCTGTGGGTATCTTGTTTAGCTATAATGAATGAGTGTAGAACGACTACCTGGGTGACTTTTGTTATTCTTTGTGCAGCAAGGAAAGTGTACTAACATCCTCTTTTTTTTTTTTTTTTTTTTTTAAATTAAAAAAGGGAGAAAGAGAAACCCAGCTGAAACTTTTGTGAAGCATTATTTGGGTTGCCAGTAAAGCATCAGTTTAGTACTGAAGGTCTGTTTTTGACTTGCAGTAAACATTGCATTGTACAGAAAAAAAGGACACCAGAGGGAGTCTGAGCTATTAGACAGTTTTGATTTATAGTGACAGGAAAAACCCTTTTTGTTTCTGGAGTTCCAGTCAGAGCTAAAAATGAATCTTTTAAAGTCATTAATAGTTTGTTTCTAATTAGGTTGCAGTGATTTAACATGTGTATTTCCATGCTGCATCTGTAACATTTCTGTCTTGCTTGTTCTTTCAGCCATTTTAAATAATTGCTTACAGAGCAGAGATTTTTATTAGCTGCTGTGTTGCTCGGTTGTGTATCCTGCTTAACATTTTTTAAAAAGAGCCTGTGTTTAAAGTGCAACCTTATGTAGAGAGAAGGGGGAGAGCTGCTAAGGAGCAGGTACCTCTGAATGAAGTACGTTGGGTCAGAATGCTGTTTTCCTGTCTGATTTTGTACAATGACCTGTTCATTGCTGTAGCCTTCATGTCTCTGCTTACCTAAAAGACTCTTTAATGTTTTGTGGCCTGTTGAACCTGCTGAGCTGGGCAATCTAATTAAGTAAACAGCAATAGAAATGAAGTTCCATGGGATCTCAGGGTTTCCCTGTGTTTTGCAGACAGATGGTTGTGAAGTCTGGCATCAACTTTGGTGACTACAATTACTTTTCTTGTTTTGGTTTGTCCTGGCCCTTGTAAGTGTTGAGAAATGTGCTGTTTTCAGCAGATTTTTTTCTTAAACACGAGCTTGAAGGAAATCATCTACAGTGCATTTCCTTAATGGGTCAGAATGAGTTACTGCTGTCTTCCCTTCTTCCCAAGTGAGATCTGGGTCCTGCTAGCCCATCTGTTTCTAACCAACTCTTTTTGAGCAAAGATTGTTAGAGAGAATGTGACAAGGCTGCTCTGGTGTTAAAAGTGAATTGTTAGACTTACTTTTGCTTGGGTCCTAATATAACATTGGAAGATTTTCTTGATCTTGTGCATGGCTTGTAAATTCTTACTCTCCTCCTCCTCTTTCTTTAATCTGTTAGGATTTTTTTTTGTTTAGTTGGGGATTGACTGCTGTGTTTCCTTGCCAGTACAGTTCATAGGCTGAGCATGTGCTTAATGAATGAAGGCCAGTACTGTTAACCACATTACTTTTAATTTAATAATTTGTGGTTCTCTAGTTGAATAATGATGATCCTAGAGTAGCTTGGAATCTTCCCTAGTGTTGCATTCATAGTAGCTAAATATGTAACAAGGAAAATAATTTCTTAGCATCTGGTAAAAGTAGAGAAAGCAAAGTAGGAATAAAGTTTATTCTGAACTGCAGGGAGGGATTAGCAATGAAACTGCTTCAGCTAACATGTATAGTAAAATCACACTAGAGATGCAGTGCTTTAATAAAATGCCTGTGAGTCTTAAACCAAGATATATTAGCTCTCTGTTGGGCAATCACTGTTCCTTTTGGGCTATCCATGTCCCTTTTGCAATCAAGACTATCTCAAGAAATTGAGGCAATTTGATTAAAGTGCTGTTCCTGTAAAGATGATAAACTTGTATAGTCCTCAACTCAGAAAGTCTTTGTGTAAACTGTTATAGAAACAGGTCTCTTATGTTAGACATTGGCAAAGCTCTCTTTTTCCACTGCTTGCTAAGAACTAGTTTGCTCTGATGTTTATGTGAGCAAGATGGAGTACACTGCCATATAAAACATGTATGACTCCAGCTAATGCACTTGTGGAAAAAAAAAAAAATCTATTCACTAAGGCACACATGTTGGTGATTTTGCTCAGCATCACCATTCCTTGTCTCTAGACTTTGGTGTGTGTATATATAATATACTCATCTTAGTCTGAAAACCAGTTTGGGTTATAGAAGTGTCTCACTGGAAACTGCAGCTGCTATGAAATGGGGCTGCCTTTTTGGACAGTACCATCTCCTTCATGAAATGCACTGTGTCAGACTGTCACATCCTTATTTAATTTCCTCTTTTATAGTAAATTACTTAGGTTCATAAAGCCTTTGTGGTGACTGATGAAGCTGTCTGTATTCAAGCTTTAACAAGTTGTTTGCAAAACCTGAGTGCTGGGCTACTTCTACTTACTGGTGTTTGTAGGTAACATTTTAAGAACCTCATTTTCTTAAGGGAGGAGGAGGGCATGCCTTCTGAGAAGGATTCAAACCCAAGTCAGCTCACTGGATTTTAACACATGGCCTTTTATGTGGAGAGATTCAATATAGGCTCTTCCTTCTGCATTGTCACACCTTTCTCTGTTCAGGAACAATCTTCCTAAACTTAGCTTTCCTGAGTAAGAATTCTCTATATTAGAAAAAAAAAATTCCTCTCTTTTTGATTTTTGAGCTCTCAAGTATTTTGTGACTGTCCTTAGTGAAGTTTGTAAAACGTTCCCCTTGTAGGCATCTGCCTCCACTTAGGGTCCAGTTGAATTTTCCTGCCTCCCATGGGTAGATCGAGCTACTGCTTAGAGGTGCACAGACCTCTTTGTGCTAGGGCTGTGCTACTTGATGAGCTGTGGAGTTGCACTGGGGGTGGTACATTGGGATGGGTGGGTGACTTTGGTCTGTGCTTCTTTGGTGGTCTTGTTCCTTGAAGGCACAACTGGTGTTGACTTGGCCAGGTCCCACCAGGATCTGCTGGTGGGCTTAGCCCAGCCTCGTCATTGCCCAGCAGAGCACCTGGGGAGGAGCAAACCCAGTCTACCTTGTACCGAGGCTGGTGACCTGTGACTTGAATTTCTAAAGCTTACTGCTCACCAAGTTCTCAGGAGGAAGAATAAACTAGCAGATGCTCATTTGCTCATTGTGAATGAAATGAAACACTGCACATGTGCTGTCAAAATAGGTATATTTTCTACACAAGGTAAAGGTGGTATGTAAAATGCTATTTAATATTTGCGGAGAGCTGGAGAAAATAAACACAGCCACTACAGGTGCCTTCAGATGTGCTTTTGCAGACAGACTTAGGACTTGAGCTCTATTTAGCTGTTAGTCACTGCCAGTGTCAACTGAAAGGGTGGTTTAGGAGAAAGCTGTCTTGGCAATGAATTGAACTGAAAGCATTCATGGAGTCCATTATGGTGGCTCAGTGGAAGGAGTGGTAATTCATAGGAATGAAAGTGGGAGGCAGTCATGTCTCAAATCCTGTTGTGAGAGCATGTCTGAATATGTCCTTAAGCAGCATAACTACAGCAGCACTTTGAAGAGTCCTTTGCTCCAGGATGAAGGGTGTCTTCCCTTATGTCCAAAAAAAAAAAAAAATTTCTAAGACAAATTAGGGGCTCTTTTGACCATAACTGCTTATTTTGCAGCATGCTTTCCTTCTGTGAGCCTTACTCACGTGAAAGAAAGCACTTTATCCTAAAACTATGGAGAGGTGCTAAGCACAGGGGTCTTTGTCAATGCAAAGCTCTTGAGATTAAATAATTCATTGCATGCTTGCTCCGTGCTGTGAGTGTTATAACATGGTTGAACAAATGTAACTAACAGAAGAGCAGAGATAAAACATCACATGGCTGTGCTCACTTGAGCTCTACGGCGCATTTCTGGGAGAAATCCAATGAAAATAGATGTCAACAGCTCATATTCAAATCTTCTTAAAGGAGACAAGTTCCGTGGCGTGTTTAGGTGTGTCTCATAGGAAATACTTCTCATCTTTTTCCCTTGGTATGTTGTTGAAGCTGTCTTGCATCAGTGCAACACTTAACATTCATGTCATAAAACGAGGAAGATGCATGTGATAAGATTAAATATTTAAAGAAAGATACGTGTCCTTTTTGATAGCTATATATAGTGAGTAGCTGTTCTAAGTTTCTTGTTACTCCATTTTAATAGACTTATCAAATATTTATACTTTGCATTTCTATCCAGAAGCTGGTGAGGGGATGTGTGTGTGTTTCTCACGACCTTTATCTCGAAACATTGGGGATTTAGTTAACTAATGTTCACAGGGCAACTGGTGTAGCCATTTTTGGGTTTTGACAGTAATTTGCTGCAGGCTTTGCATGTTAGAACCAGTGTGGTGTTCATCCATGGGGAGGGAGGTGGGGAATGAAAAAGAGGGATGGTTTGGGAAATGGTTATAACAGTAGGTTTGTTTTGATCTGCATGAGTAAGCAATTTTTCTTGACACTGGAATTAAAAAGGGACAGTAATTTTGGTGAACAAGAGGTCACTGTGCAAGCACAATACTGAATATTGCTTGAGAGGAAACTTGTGTACTTTTCCTCAACTGTCACATTAATCTTGTGCACCCAGAAGCTGTTCTTACAACCTTTTTTTGATATAACAAAAACTCAGCAGTGGTTTGCTAAAGGCATGTTGTACCTTTTAAGATGATTCAAATGCTCCAGTTGAAGCACTGTAAAAAATAAAATTGCTGAAATGAATTGTGCTGTAATGTGCAGGGGCAAGCAGAAGGTCCCTAAGTGTATCTGAATTGTTTGTCTGTGGTTTGTTTGATGGTATGGGAAAGGTAATGGTGCCAATTCCGTTGTTGCATGTGAGTATGTAAACATAAATGCACTTTTCCTCACCAATGCCTTTTTAAGAAGGAAAGACTGTTTAAAATTTCATGAAATGTTTTAAGAATCTATTACATTTATAGAGGATGCTAGTTTTGTAAAGGGCGAATTGACAAAGTACAGTGAATCATTTAAGAGCCAGGGAATTTTTTTTCTTCTAGAAATTTCCCTACATTGGCAAATATTGAGAGGAAGAAGGCAATGCAGATGCAGAAGGAAGAAAGGGGAGAAGTGCTGACTACCCAACAGTTTGGGTAAGTGTTTTGAAACAAGCTTGTTACTTTCCTCCTAAGAGGGGTTCAGAAGTATGCTCTCTTACTGCGGTCTCCCAGCACTTACTGCTTCCACTGTGCACACGTTCTAGCTGCCCTTTGACAGAGGACAGGTCATTTGACAAAGTGCAGATGTAATGGTCTTTTGTTTACAGTGCTTTATAGTCCACTTCAGTTAAGTTAAACAATAATTGTATTAGAAATCTGATGCTCATGCTGAATTCTGCGCTCTGGCTTGTTTGAGAAAACCACACTCTAGTGGCCATTCATTAGATCAGTGTAACCTTGGTCTCTGAAAAAGAAATAATGGGGACAGAAGTCATACAACGTAGTCAATCCACATGGTCTAACCCTTTAATGCCTGAAAATGGTCAAGAGAGATTTTGAGTGAATGTGGCTTCTTACTCTCTTTTCAGATGATAAATCAATAATCAAATGAAAAGGGGAGGAATGGTTTAACTTTATTTTCATAGCTTAAGCAGTGCTACTTCTTTCTTCTACCCTCCATCATCTTTATCTATCTGCTACCTTTGTTCTGAGCCTAATAACTTCTCCTGGATTTTTATCTGTTCTCTCCCTTACATTGTGAATTATGTTCCAGTATGGCCTTCGTTCTTTTCACTTTAGTGTCAGTGTTATGTGGAACCAGATAACTTCATTAGCTCTACTTTAGGGCCTGTGGGAAGACTTTTTAAAAAAATTTTATAATGATCCACTCTCCTAGAATATCACTTATCACTAGAATATCACTAGAACAACTGAAGTTGAAGGCAGGAGCAGACTCAGTTCTAAGGGGCCCTTGCTAGATACCAGTTGACACTGCATGGAAGTGAAATCGGAGTTTGCCTTTTTTTTCTTTTTTTTTTTTTTTCTTGTAGGACATGACACCAAACAAAATAAAGGTTGCACTATGGTAAAGCGGTTGAACTTGTGCGGAATAGGGTTCATGTCAGGCTAGTATAATTTGTTAAATGGTTACAGTGCAAATTACCTTGGTGCAGCATGTGCATCAGAAGACCCAACACTTATCCACCCCCTCCAACCAGTTGCCTTTCATGACTTTGGAAGGTAAGGTTTATAAAAGGCTAAAATACAACTTCCTTCAAAGGATATAAAGTTGCAGAAGTGCTTTGGACCCAAGGAACCAAACCTAAGCATTGAGACATGTAATAACTGGAGATTCTTGTGAGCAAAGATGAGTTTTGCTTGTTGCAGTAATAAACTGTTTGGTGTCTACAGGTTTATTTGATAACTCTTGTGGCTGTGAGTCAGATGCATTATGTAGTCTTAAATGTCAATCAGCAATTCCATACTATTATATTTGTTAATAACTTTATATCTGGAAAATTGTTTGGTAAAAAAGCCCTTAAAATTATAGGTTGTTTGCTTTTGCTTAGTGACCTTTAACTCTGGTTGATTTTAGAAATCTCTCTTCTTTTTTCCTCTCCCTTCCCTGACCTGCTGGCACTATACACTTGATGAACTCTCCAAAAAGCTGTTGTTTCTGCTTTGTATATCAACAGTAAAGATTCTGGAATTGGTGCTTATCTGGCAAATTTACTGCTGCATGAGACAAAAATAGAATACAGCTTGTTTTCTGCAAGCTGTACTATGAGAGCAAACAGCTAAATAAGATTTAGAAAGGATTAGATAGTTAACGCTTCTATAGCATTTTCCATTTGTGGTTCTCTTCAAGTGCTTTACAACTGCTAATTCTCAACATCCCCATGTATGAGATTAGGGATGCAGGAGGACCACTTTGGTAGCCTGTCTGGTGTCTTGCAACAGCTGATTAATATCACATGGCTCTTCATCCCCTCTGAATGGGAAGTGAAGAGTAGTATATCTTTCACGAGGTAAAGGCAGAAGGGAGATGTCAGTCTGTTTGTTAGGGTGTGTTTGTGACCTTGGGGTTTCTTTCTGAATGTTTGAGGCCCAGGAGAAATCAGAATGTTGTTTTTAACCCATGGCCAGGGATAACACCTCTAATTGAGCCTATATTTGCTCAGTATCTTCTAGGTTATACAACAACATCCTGAGTTTAGAGCCTGGTTGTACAAATTCAGAAACACAGTTCTCTGTCTAGATGGAGTTGTTATGGGAGCTAATATTAGCCTCCTTTTGTGGATGAGAGACGATGCACAGGAAGGTGGTGGCTTGCAACTTGTACCACAGGAGCATTATGATGGATAATGCTATCAGGACTGAGCAATCAGTGTTAGACACTGTCATGAAATGACTGGAGAAAGAAAGGAAATAAGTTTTCTTGTGATATAAAGCCATTTTGAGAATGCTGTGGCAGGCCCTGTTCTCACCTCAAGAAGTACTTAATTCAGCTGGAAAGGTATGGAAGAGAGGAATGTTGGTAATGGGAATGTTTCTGTACAAAGAATTGGGTGGCTCCTGTGGTGAAGGTCTAGAAAAATTGCATAGGTGGGAAGAGGTGACTAGCATGCAGTTATACACTGTTTCTTGTAACTTGAGAAGGATGGGGATACCAAATTACCATTTTAGACATCAGAATGAAGACAAACCAAAAGAAATCCTTGTTTTCAAATTATTAACACCTTGCTGCAAGATTTCAGGAATGACAGACATTGACACAGCATCCCACAGCATGAGGCATAAAACCATCATTGTCTTGGGAGCACCTCTAGTCAGAGAGGGCTTCTAAATGGTACGTCGTGGAAAAGTAGGCGAGGGAAAGGTGACCATTTGCCCTTCTCTTACCTTTTTTTCTTTCCTCGCATGTTCCACTGGCTGCTTATGATTGACAAGGTATCAGGTTAGAAATACACTTAGGAGACTCTGCTTGCAGATTCATGACTCTAGACCTGGGGAGAAACTCTTGCCTAAGTATGGTATTGTACAGTTGACTAGGAATAACAGGACCTCTGCCATGCTGTAGGTGAGCCTGAGGGAGAGAGTACCAAGCAAAATGGAGGATGGGGCTCATTCAGGATGGTAGAACTTTTTGTGGTTATAATGTGCTGATGATTAGTTGCAGTCTTGTTTTGCTGAATTAAATTTTTATTGCTTGAAATCAAGTATTTTCAGGAAGGTTAGGTTATCCCTTCTGTAATTTCTGTCTAGGACAACCTATTCTTATATCTATAGACTTTGAGTTTTTTAAGACTCCAGGTACCTTCCTATAAACACGTTTTGTGTTTATAGGATAACCTGGATGATTATGGAACTGCAAAAGATAAGTGGAACAGACATGCTGTGCTCTTCACATATTTTAGGACTTGTTATATTGTTTCAGGTTTTTAAAAATCCATTGCCCTGATAGAAGCTTTTTTTACTCCTTTTCCATCAGAGTGAAAAAGATGAATGGCATCTTTTGGATGGCAGGGATAGGCAGTCATTGCAACTGATGGTGTCAGGTGGCTAAATGAGTTTGCAGCAAGATTTTTGTCTGAGCTGTAACTGGAAGAACGAGACTTCAGCAGTGGAAATATGCTTATAGTAGATGCTTCCCTTTTAATTCTACATTCTCCCTGTTTTGAATGACATAATTGCTTAAGTGAAGGGAATATCTGTTGACTTTGTAATGTGAAATGAAAACTCTGTGTCTTCACACTAGATAATCAAGGAACTTGCTTGGCCCATGTACCCTTTACCTTTTTAAAAGATAAAAGCCTGAACTTCAGACTTCACTTAGGTTCTAGCTTTGTCACATTGCCCTGCCAGTGAGATGAGCTGTGACTGCCTGTCTGGTCTGTCACTACATGTTAGCTGAGCTGGAGTAAGTCCTGGCATCATGCTGTGTTGCTGAACTTTAAATGTGGGCCTGAGCCATTTGGTTATGTCAGTTGACTTTATTCTCATAGCTTGTCAGTTGTATGAGCTTTGCCTTCTGTATTCTCCAGCAAAATGAAGGGGATGTGGAAACCTCCAGAAAATGGAGAGAGGCTTGGGCAGCAAGGAAGACAGAGGAGAAGACAAAGACGCCCATTCTGGAAGAAATTTAGGAAAAATGGTGACGATTATAATGTACATGGAACTCAAAATGAAGCCAATGGACTAGAAAACAGCATGTGTGAAAAGGAACATGAAAACCAGCGTGTTTTGGCAGCTCAGCCATACTTGAAGGACATGGACCCTCTTGGTCTTCTGGCAAACAGTGATGTTGGTAAGATGAAGGAACTTGGAGAACTTTTATTTTATGTAGTGCTGCTGAAACAATTACTGACCTTTTGTGTAACTAGCAACTTCTGGGGAGAGCTGGGGATTTCCAAAACCATGTAAATTCTGTCTTTGACTGAAAGAGGGCTAATGGTGCAAGTATAAAATGGGAAAACTCTCTCTTAGTAGAAATTCATGCATTGATTCAAGGCTTTACATTATTTTTGGCAAAGAATACTGTGGAGCCTGTTGTGATACTTACCTTCTCATTGTTACTAACAAAAAAGCCCAGGATTTCTGTCTTGTGGCTAGAATAGTGCCAGGGCCAAAAGGGTCATAAGTTTGAAGGCAGTCCAACATCCTGGTGCCTAAAATTTGCAGTTGGAACTTCCTTTTAAATGAAAATTTCTGCAGAGAGATATCCTGAATCAGCACGTGGTCAGCTAAGAAAATTCCCAGTGTGATTATTGTGAAAGAGTGGGTCAGTGCTTTATCTAAAGGAAATGGTTTAAATCTTGCCGTCTGGGGAGCTTTTTCCCCGGTGGGCTTGGCCTGTTACAGAGGAAAATATCTCAGTAGACTAGGGGTCTTTGAGATACAGGTGTGTGTCTGACTGAATTCATGTCCACATGCTGGTAGGAGTAGCTAAAACTAGTAGACTTAGCTGAGCTTTGGTTTGTTAAGAAGCTGAAATACAAAGTCAATGAAGAGGAAGGAAAATTCTGATTTGGAAAGGCTGACACAAGAATGTTTAAGATACTAGCATAATTAAGAGCTTCTACCTAGGTTTGCTTGCAAGCCCAGTTGATCATACTATAAACATACAGGGAAAATCTAGCCAGACTACTTTTGGAATTTTTTTTTTTGGTGAGAGTTAGGAAGCATTTAATTTTATTCTGTATCATCAAATAATGCTTAATCTGAGGAGATGATGTTGGGAGACATGATGTAGATGTGTCTTAGATTTGAAAAATAACCACACTAGATACTTACTTAGCTTTGTATGTTTTAAAATACTTTACTAGCTTTAAATCAGTATTTAGCTAACAAACTGAAGAGGGTTTCTGGACTCTTAATGGAGCACGTCAATTCTATCTTCATTTAACAACTATTTCACCATAATAATGTGAGTTTACCTGTAATCTCTTGATTAGGAATGTTTTTTTTGCCCAGAACACTTAGCTGGGAGAGGCAGCAAAGGGAAAGTGGCTCAGGCCACAGAGAAGTGATGCTGTAGTAACTTTAGGAAGGAGAGGAAAAGAAATAGCATCTGAGTTGTTCTAAGTTTAGATGCTGAAACTTTTGCTTGCTAGTTAGGATTTTGGAAGTGCTGCCATAAAGTTTGTGTGCAGTATTAAGTGTTCTGTCTTAAATACTGTACAATAGTCTAAAGGACATGCATCAATTTAGGTTTCTAAACTAATGTGTAACGTGAGAAAATCTTTATAAAGCCAGAAGAAGAATAAAATATTTCAACAATCAGTTTATTTTTTAAAGACTGTTAAATATATCTTTGTGGTTTTGAAAATAACGGTATTTAGAATGTGAAAACAAATGGATTTCCTTGTATAAGTTAATTACTTTTAAAATATCCGTGTTTTTCTCTTCTGTTTTTTGCTGTATTATCTAATTTACGCTTGATATTCTCCATATGTGTACGTTCTCTGAAGTATTGCTGCTTAGGGTTTTTTTGATGAGTACGTCTTGTTTCCACATGCTGGCAGCAGTGTAAACTCTCCAGCTATAACTATTTATAATATAGTCAGCAGTGATGCAGTACTATGAGAATATGGCATGTAAGCTGACGTATACTCTAGCTATTTTTAGCAAGGAGGCTAGAATGCATTCCCTGGAAAGACGTCTAATGCTGAGTTTTTCCTCTTGAAAACATGATCTTCAATTAGTGGGAACAAGAATTCAGCATCCCTATGCAATTTGTTTATACCACTAATCTGTGCGTGTTGGGAAACTTAAGTATGCTTAAATAGAACTGTATTTCCCTGAAGCATCTATGTTTTACTTAATGATAAAAAGTCTTAATTATACCAAAGTACAGCTAGTAACTTTTGTTATAATAGGTAGAAAGGAATGTGGTACTTGCTTATTACACATTATTAATGTCAGTTGCAGTTTTTTATGACTACAGTCATAATAAATAATAACAAGCACAATGTAATTAAGTAGAATTTAAAAAAAAAAAAGAATTGTAAAAGTGAAGTCCATGATTTTGCTGTATAGGTACATTTTGTTGGAGTATTCAGACCTTTCTAACAGCAGCAGCTCTTTCTCCAGAGGGAATGGTTGGGTTTTTTTTGTATAATGAATTCACTTAAGTTCTGTTTAGTGGCTAGTTCCTTCAAAGCTAAGAAATTGAATGGGTGACAAGAAAACACAATTTTGCTCTTGATTTATAAGCAGAAAGTAAGGTGATGAGCCTGTTAGGTGTAAAATTTTGAGGGATTTACTAGCTACAATCAATCAGTTGTATTCAGTAGTGCGTAATGCTTCGTCCAAATGTGTTATTCTCAAAGAGAAAATGTATTCCAGTAAATGTGTTTTCCTAATTTTCTGAAAAGCAAATTCAAAGTAACTCTTTCAAATTTAAAGAAAATAAAAAGATACCCAGCCACAATATGTACTCAACATTTTGGATGAGATAGAAAAAAGCAGCAATGAATCAAAATAGCTTGAAGTAAATGCTATATTTAGAATTGTTTATGTGCAGGTGCTGTGTATTCTCTATTAGAAAAATGCACTGTGTTTAATATGAGCTTCCAATGTAATTGCAAATTGGCATGATTACTAAATCAGTGAGAATCAGCCTTTCTTAAAGAGCTCAAAGTAAAAAAGAGGTAGTTGAGTGCCTTAGATAATACCTTTCTATTTATCTGAAAGTTGTTTTACCAAAAATGGTACTAATGAATCAAACTGCCATTTGCTAATGATAGGATAGAATAGAGAAATATATGTGATTCCACAATAAAGATCTCAAAAGTGTTTACTTCAGTAAAATCTTACGTGTGAGGCAGCTTTCTTGTGAGGCAGGCTTGGACAGACGGGATGGAGAGGTCACAACTCTTCTGCTTTGAAAAAAAACAGTCTTTTTCTAGGAGTCTTAACAGACTAGTTTCTCAAAATGTTTCTAGTAGTGTAGGGGGTGTTTGTATATATGAAATATGTATGCAAGTATGTTACTGAAAAGCATTTCCTAGTTTTCCTGCTAACTCTAGCACTGTTCAACTGAGAGTCTTTGCAAGATTTTAGTGCCCATATATCCCTTTTTTTCCTAAACTAAAACCATCACAATTTTACATGTTTAGTTTTAGGAATCATTTTCTGTTAAGGCTCTGTTTTCCTCATAGTCTCAATTCGGCATTTTTCTGCTTGCCTCCTATTTTTCCAGTATTCACTTTTGGGGTCGTTTGAGACTGTATTACCTTTCTTACTCATGTATGTCTGTAATGCTCTGCAAGGATTTAAGTATGAGATGGCCTGTAGTACTACTGATCATTTCATTTGTAACCTTGGTTCTCAATGTCCCTTAGGAGCTATTTTTACTATCCGAAAAGTTCTTTGCTCTTAAATTCTCATTTTGAATGATCTGAACTCTCCTTCCCCTCCACCCCCTGCCCTGACTGGCTTTTGAATCTTTCTCCCCCACCCTCTGCCTCCGCAGGACTAAAATACACAGCAGGACTTCAAAACATTATGAAATCCTCTCTCTCTTTACCTACACTTGATAATAAAACCTATAATTATGTTTGGTATGTGAAGAAAGAACCAGAAAGCTCAAGCTCTTGTTCAGGAAGCTTTTTGCTTCTGTAGTTTTGCTGGCAGGACTGTAAACCAGTGGTGAGATGACTTTGCCACTGAATGTAGAGAGTAGGCAAATGTGGAGGTTTTTTATCAAGCCATGGTGTTGAGCAATGGTGACTAACACTGGGCTTGCATAGGGGTGAGACGGGGATTTAACAGCAAGGCTGGCTGTTGATATACAGGACTATTGGGAAAAATCCCTCTTGCCTTTTTTGTCCCTGCAGAATCTGAAAAGGACGAAGCAGCAGCTGAAGACGTGAGGATAGGAGTGACTGTTGTTCCCAAGCAGGTCACCTCTGCTCTGAGTTCGTTGTTGGCCAACTACGGCAGCGCATCCGACAGCGAGCCTGAAGGTACTTAGGAGCAGGTCCTCTGCCCTTCTCCTCTCCCCTTCTACCCTACATCACTGTGCTCTTGTGGACTGCCAGCAGTGATAAAACCTGACCACAAATTACCCTTCTTTGGGAAGGTGGGAGGCTTCACATCTCCTGTGTTTGGTCCTTTGCCATTTCCCATCCCATTGTCCAGTCCCTGTGTATTTATAAATACAGTATTATGAGTGCAGTAGCCCAATGATAGCTCTTTACAGCTGCATCCCCAGCTGCTGAAAGCTGCATGTTATCAGTCAGAACCTATATAGTACTTACAGTTTCTTGAGAAAAAAACTTTTAAGAGAAATTAAAGGTGTTGTAGAAGAAAATACAACATGCAAGTTGTGGCTTACATTTAGCAAAGATGTTAAAGTAATGGCAGTTCAGTGGCTATGTTGCCAAAGCACTTGGCTGTGGAAATGCCTTTTGATTTCTGGCCTGTCTACCAGTGCTATAATTCAGAGCTGTCTTGTGCCTATTCATTTTTAGGCTTATACAAGTAAAGAGGGAAGCTTGTTAAAGGTTATGCACAGGGATGTTTTTGCAGTCTCTGTAAAGATCCTTCCCAGTGTGCTTTCAGTGGTGTAAGCCATGCATACAGACAGGCTGGGAGGAGTAAAAGGATACGTCATTATTCTGCTGCTCTTGTTTCCCTATTCCTTCCTCCTCCCAGTTTTGAGCACTAACCGTGGTTACTGGATGAGCTGTTACTTGTTCCCAGTATGGTGATAGCTCGTAGTCTTGGAGAAGCACCTGGACAGAACACAGCATTTGTGCAGACAGTTGGTGTGCAGAGGTGACCTTGTCCCATCGGCCTGTGCCGTATCGAATGCCTTTCCCCCACCAACCCTACAGCATAATTTAGAAAGTCTGAGTCTCCTGAAAGACTAAGTGGGTTACCCCCCCTCCCTGCCCATGCTCTTTGCTTGCTTTTTCTCAGCAACATGACCTGGCTTGAAGAGGGGGATGTAAAATGTCTTTGGTTAGGATGTGTGTCATCAAATTTCCCAAGCTTACTTTCCCCTAGTTGGAGGAAAAAAAAAAAGCAGCCTGTCTTCAGTCTTGCTTCAAATCATGTTTGAATAGTGCCAGGAAAAAGCTGTTATGCTCACCCTGTGAACTAATTTCCATGTCCTTAAGGGCTTTTTCCACAGATGGCTGCTGAGTGTTGCAGTAAGACTTGAACTCTCTAGTACTTGGATTTTGTGCTTCTCCAAGTGTATGCATCAGTGTATGGCAGAGAATTGCTGCTGCTCCTTGTTTCTGCAGTTAGTTGCTATGCCTTACTTGCTCTAGATGGCCTACCCGAGGTTATGGAGAGCATCTAGCAGGCAAGGAATGGAACTTGGGCATCCTCTGCCCTAACTATACCACGACTTTCTCAGTAGCCAATTTTGCACAGGCTATATTGTGAAGCAGAAACAATGTACTTTCTAAGTGATAACAAGGCAGAGGTTTGAAAATCTCATTTATCTCTTACTCCTATTTTTCTTTTTTGTATTGTAGAATTTAAATATCTTGTTTTCCTTTCTGTGAATGTTTAGAGATTATTCTTGTATTTTAAAAGAAACCCCAAACCAAACAAAACCCTCCCTTCTTCCAAGTAAACTTTAAACATCTTCATGCCAGGTTATGTGAGCAAGAATATTACTAATGAACTGTCAGTGCATGGGGGTATAAGCATGTTAAAGAGGCTTTTAAGTTTGAGATGAAAGTATGTTCTTTTTCTTTAAGAAATCCCTGTCAAGTCTGCAACAAAAGCTGAGAAAGACGAGGCTGCGCTCAGAAATACACCCCAAACTGCTCATGTTTCTTGGAGTCAAAACCTGAATCAAAAACGTCCAGAATATGCAGGCACAACATTGAGAAGCTCGAATTCAAATGCACGTCCCCCCAGAGGGCCTGGTAATTGGGGCAAGAAAACATTACCTCTTCTTCCAAAGCGCCGTCCAACTCTGCTGGAAATGGTAAGTCTTAGTGCTAAAATAACGCCTTCTGTACAAGAGCAACACTATTTGTGAGCGGTTCTACTCTTCCCCGTGGGAAGTTAGAGCAGTCTGTAGCAAAGGTCCTGTCTTTAATATATCAGAGAGTTTCATTCAGAGAAGGTGTGTAGATGCTTAAATAGGTAAATCAAAATAACTGCTGTGCATTCAGGTAATGACTGACTTTAGTGAGCAAGAGGTGAGAACTTAAATCATGTGCGTAAAATAAGCTGCACAAAGGACAAAAAACTTTATTCATCACTCTTCCCTCCCTGTGGTAGTATCCAGTAGGTTTTGTTTGTGTGTGATCCCATCACACTTATTCTGATTTTTCTTCCCCTTGCTCCTGGCTTTGCTATTTAGCTGCTTTTCTCTGATTGAGGAGCACACCATTTTTTCAGCTGCAGTCAAAGAGGTTTTGATGATAAGCACGTTGGTAACAAATTGTCGAGTGGTGTTGATCTGCAACCTGCACGTGCATGGGTGTCTTCTCTGTAGGCATGTTTAGATCAATCTGAAGATGACAGCACCTTGAAGAGCAGGTTAGTGTCTCAGAAGGGTAAAAAGAGGTTTGTAGAGGTGAGTCCCGAGTGTTATGATTCCATTCTCAGTAATGGTGCAAGCCATCCTATTTGGAAGCTTGGTGCCTTTTTAGTATAAACAAAACTTTGAACCTTTAATGCATTTAGTATTCAAAAGCAGTGTCAGGTAAATGATCACTCTTGTGATTCTGTAAATAGCTAGCATAAAGTTCTCCCACCAAGGGAGGACTTGCTGTGGTACAGAACACAGGAGAAAGAGTTCCACTGACATTAGGGCTCTGAAACAGCACAGGATGTTTAGGCAAGTGATACATGATAAAGCACATCCCAAGCTGCAGATGGGGGAGAAATCCCTTGATAGTCCTTTTAGCATGTACTACCCTTGCTGCCAAGAATTAAAGTTCCTAGTGACTGAAAAGGAAGTGTGTGCCCTTTGTGTAGCTCCCTAAGCATGCAGTTGTCTTTATCTCTTGCTCTTCAAAGTTGTCGGTGATCAAAGCAGTAAGGACTCTGGAAAAAAAAGTCAGATGAAGTCCCACATGCTGAGAGAAGCTGGCGGAAAGATCACTGGAAACCTGAACCGTAGCTTGCCGTTATAGTACATTTTTAAAATTGCATTTTATTGGGGTTTTTTTTCCTTTTAATGTTACTCAAAACTGTTGTTAAAGGACGTGTACCATGGCTGTGAATCACAGAGGAGTGCCTGAGATTCACAGGTAGGATTCCACTGTCAGAAATGGTCAGTGTATAAAAAACCTTGAAGAGGCAAGGTTGAAATTTTAGTGAGTCACGGCTGAGAATTTATCAAAAAAGTGAGGAAGTAGAATTGCTAAGAAAAGGATGTTGTATCAGTGGAATGATGCTTTACAAAAAAAATTAAGGGGGAGGTAGGAGCATAGCTACAGATGCCTTTTGATGGTCAGACAGCAGTGAGCTTGGGCACTACTAAAACATGGTTATTGTAGCCATGCAAACAGTAATGTATGTTAGCCATTCTGTACATGGACAAAAAAAAAATCTCATGTAGCATCACTCCCTGCATTAAAAAATACAGTAAAAAGATACAGTCTTCAGTGGGGTGCTGGTGCATCTTATCTGTGCCTTTATTTGGCCATTTGGGATTTTGGCAGTTTCTCCCAGTCTGACAAAGAGAACATCACTGTGCTGTCCTTCTCTGCCCTAACGTGACTCTCCTATTCAGATGGGAGGTTTCTGAAGGCCCATTTTAGGTGTCAGCTGCTTGTAGCACCTCTTAGTAACAGTCTAAATAGAAATACGCACACTTTAAAGTGGCTCATTAAACCACTGTTGAAACTTACGACAACAACAAAAAAGCTTCTTTGCCACATTACAAGCCAAATTTAGCTAGATCTCCTGCAATGTGTAATATAGCTCCCCTGCAAATGATCAGGTTGTTACAGATTTAGCCACTTGCTTCAAATTTGTTTGTTCAGAGTACTAGTTCTGCTGACACTTGCCGCGAGAAAAGGTCCTTTAGCGTTTTGGCTGTTTTTTATTTATACCAAAATGAACTTCAGTGAGGTTCAAGGACATGAGGGAGAACTCTAGCACTTTGATTAAGCTACTTAGACTTATGTTGGTGGATTATAGCCCAAATCATTTATTGACATTTAAATCCACAGTCTGGTACCTGATGAAGCATGCAGTTTCCTTGTGTTTATAAGTATCTTCTATTCACAGGGGTTCTGTAATAAAAAAAGTATGAGATATTAAATTACAGATCCAGTATAACCTGGAAAGTGTAAAAGATGCTAATAGACTTTCTATCCTGATGTATCGGAATGTGTGGCCTGGTACAGTCAAGGACATCATCATCCTGGTCTAGAGTCAGATAACTGGGGAGAAAAGTATTTAGGTATATTCAGTGATGTTCTCTACCACCTGAGCAACTGAGACTGACAGCTTAATTCAAGGGTTTGTCACCTTGTTCTACTTGCCTTAGTGCATTAACGTGGCTAAATGAGCAGTGCTTAAATGTGTACTTGGAGCATGCATTTTCCATCCTTTTCATGTGCCAGTACCATAGCGAATCGTGGCCGTTATGAGCCTCTACTACTAGAAGTGGTGTTTGACCTATGCTACTCTAGCATCTTGCTGCTGCCCAGAAGGGGAGCTGCCTCCCTCCTGCCTCCTCTCCAAATGCCTGATCCCACCTCTTCTCTGCTGTGCTGGGCCTTTTGCTGACCCTGTTTAGTCTCTGCCACACATGCCCCTAAAAAACAACCCCAAACAACAAAAAAATCCCAGAACACCCCTCACTACTTGCTGCTGTCAGGTTCATTTTCTCCTGGCTGGTGAGTTGAACTGATGCAATAAGTAACTGCTGTGTCTAGTAAAGCAGCCTCCTCTTCTGTGTGCCCAGGACTTGTGTGAGAAAGCCAACTGTTTAAATTCAGAGATGTTCAAAATTACTGAGTAGAGCTGTACATCTTGCTAGGTTTGTATCAACTACAGAGCGATAGAGGGAAATGTGCATCATCTTACCTTCTTTCTTTCCTTCCAGTTACTGGCCCAGGACATCCGACACGAAAGGAATGTGATTTTGCAGTGTGTTCGATATCTCGTCCGAAATAATGTGTTTGGACTTCATTTTACAACAGAACCACAAGCTGAAACAGAGACTGAACAGTCCTCAGCAACTACAGCAGAGCCTTTGATGGACAAACTCGATGAATCTAATTGTTCTTATAGCTCTGACCTTCAGTTAGCAGGAGGAAAAGATGATGATGCATTATTAATAGCCCAGGGTGAGAAAGCACCCATGGATCAGACTTCACAGATGGCTCACTTGGCAGATGAGGACACGTGGGAAACCCCATCAATTCAGTGTGAAGAAGCACTGTAGAGAATGTCTGTTGTGGACAATAAAGCAAAGGCTCACATTTTCTATCAGACTGATGCTTTTTGAAAGACATCAGTATAGCAAAATAATCATTAAAGTACATGCTGAGAGCTGTTAAAACCATTTTTGTGATCTGTTCTGCCCAAGGTGGCCATTTCCTTGTGAAAACAGTATCCACATTGAGTAATTGCATTTCTCCGTGGCCAAAAAGCAGCAGTGCCACAGAGTATGACCTTCCCTAGAGCAGGTCACTTTTAAGCTTCAGAGCTCTGAATGTTTTAACACATTATGAAGTGTGTGTCAGTTGATCACCAGAGCCATGTAGTGCTGTGGTAGGATGGATCTTCCTCATGTGAAATCCTGCTCTGGCATGTCTGGGAGTATCTGAGTGTCCAGAAGTATTTCAGTGTGCTTTTGAAATGGTAATTCAGTGCACATGGTTTTTTTTTCCCCAGTTGTTCCTGATATCCAGTATAAATGTAATATATCCAGTATAAAATGAGGAAGTGAAATGGAAGCTATAACTGACCCGGCTCTAAAAGTACTGCTTGCACCAGGAGTTTTCTCTCGGAACTAAGTTGTTCAGCAGAGAAACGGAAATGAGGGCACAAACTGATGCAAGAAGCCTTTTTTAAAAAAAAGTTGAAGATACAGTAACTGCTTGCATCAGTGCCATTGCTGGTTGACCTCAGGTACGAATATTAAAATTTAGGCCTTAACAGCTATTAACAGTCATTGCCTGACAAATCTAACTATTGAAGCAAACTCTTAGTATTAAGAATATTATCAAAGTTTAGAAAGCTTACTAAGAGTAATTGGTTTGTCCCTTTTTAATATGCATTAGGAATTTATTAGTTGGCCTGGAATAATTTCTTCCTTGGTATGTTGTTACAATGCTTATTACAGCATCCAGTGATTTTTTTTTTTTTTAATAGATTTTTGCATATATCCGTGTAGTCTTGTGACTTTAAAAAAGCATCAGCCAAGGTTTAGAAACAAGCTTAGTCTTTTCATTACTTTGTACATTTGTCTGTCAGAATCCTTCTTGTCAAGGGCAGGTGTTAGTTTCTCATATTGACACTGAGAACATGCCATGAAATAATCTATCGAAAATTCCACTTCAGAATCTGCTCTTTGTCTTTTAGTCATAGTTCAGTGTTGGAGTTAAATCTCAGGGACTGATTTTTTGTTGTTGTTGTTGGTTTTTGGTAGAAGTATAGCCTTCCATTCCACCTTCTAAAATATGGAAACTCACATGGATTTATTTTGTTGCCGAATAAGTGTATTTTTCCTCTAGTTCCCTTAACTTGTGCCATGTATCTCATTTGTGGTGCACAGCAAACAAGAAATAGTTGAAAATTCTGTCCCACTGCTCTGCTATTTATAGCTACGACTGCATATTGTGTTTGTAATGCACTGTCTAAATTTATGGAATTATATAAATATCAACACCCTTGTAAAAGTTGCATGTCTCAAGAATATATGTGCAGAATAGAAGCAGTGATCATAAACATTTATATTTCCAAGGCAGATGATTCATTCTTCCCATGATGATCCCACGAGCCATCTCAAATCTCACTGAGTTGCTTATGGCTCTTACAGTTTCACTGCGATCAAAATACCAGCAAAGGACTCTAAGCCACAGAGATCTGGCACTCGGGCAGAACCTGATTTCAGAGTTGAGTGGTACCGGTGCTGTTGAAAGCATGGGTAACAGCTGCAGGAAAAGACAGAAATGTCTTAGGATTGCTACTAAATTGCACTTTAAAAAACTTAACATGCTTCTGTCAAGTTGATGGCAGAGCTTTCTTTGACTGTACTCTGACCTTGTGTTTAAAAAAACCACCTGAAAACAAACCTTTAATCTGAATTCTTTATACTATTGTCATTATGGACTTAAGAATATTAAACTTTCACACAAAACCAAAAACTTTGTCAAAAGAAAATCTTCTAAAAGTCTACTTTGTGTAGATAGGAAGGAGTAGGTTTCTTTTGGGGGAGGTCTGTACCAGGAATGAGTCAGGAATTTTAACCTAGGACTTGTTGCATACATGCAGAGCTGCTATTATTCTCATCGTGAACCATTTCTGCCAACTCATACAGCTGACATGTAGAGGCATATGCTGCAGTGATGTTAAACCCTGAATTGCCATCTTGGTCAATGAGTGGAAGGTCTCTGTCCCTTCCTCTGCCTCACTTTTCCTGTTCTTGCAGGCCGTGTTCAGACTTCATGTACCTCTTCCTGCTACTCAAGAATGTGTTTTCTTAGTACTTTGGATTCAGCCTTTGGATAGGAAAGCTGCCATAATGGCCTTTTCTGGTACTGTCACATGCCTACAGGCTTTTCCGGTCCCTGCAACTTTTCTGCTCTAGATTAAGAGGGGTTGGTTTTGTTTACTCCTTTCTAATAAGATGCCTCTCTGTGCCTGGGTAAGAAGAACTTGTTGCTTCTGACATGCTGCAGGAACCAGTGTCTTGATTAAGCTTTGTATAGCTTTAAACTTTCTCATTGTTTTGCTATGGGGTGGTGGTTTTGTGCTGAATTTTTTTAAAATGTTTTTTTTGCAATGATATTAGGAAGAAAAAATCCTACTTCTCAGGCTTTGTGACTCACTTTAGATAAAAATATTCCAGTGACAACCTTCACACTTCTGAAATTTTATTTTTATCTTCTTTTATAACTTAGCTACTGAAAATGTAATTGTGGGTGTCTAGTTTAAATTCAGTACCCTTGGGCTTTGGTGGTTTTTTTGTTTGTTTTAAATACATCTCACCTACTGAGCTGGAATAAGAGAAGAAAAAAAAAAATCAGACTTTATTCAGTTGTGCTGGTGCAGCTTAGGCAACCTAGGCTTTTCTGTGAACAAAGTCACTTATGCTAACAGCACTCCTACTTATGCTACAGCTGCTCCTGAGATGAGGGTAAGGGAAGCAAGTGGTGTGTGCTTCTAATTGGTATGACTGCTTGGTCAGTGAAGGCTTTTGCAACTGATTTTACATGTTGATGTTGCAATCCTTGCATTGAGAGCGCAGAGATGGGGTGGTTCGATTAGCCCTGCTCTGAAGGGAGATGCTGTCCCTGCTGTCAGCGCTCTGATTCTCTGTCAGCACCTTTCAACTGGGTGTCCCTCTGCTTCCTCTTGTTCTGTAACTGCTAATCCAAGTCATGTGGTGCAGCCATTATTCGGGAATAACAGTCATACTGTCCTAGCGGATCGTAGATGTTTAGCGTTAAGATACAAACTCTTTGGGCAGGGTGTTCTGTCAAAGGCAGAAGTCTGGGCTGAAATATTGCATTCCACAAGCTATCTAGATGTGACAATATGGCATACTATGGACTGATGTCATCAGGAGGCCACTCTTAAATATCTTTAAAAGCACAAGACAATTGGAGAAAGTTTCTCAGGACTGGAAGGAAAGCAAATACCACTTCAGGAGGATCTGGGGACCTACAGGCTGCTCAGCTTCATGTTGATCCCAGGTAAGGTGGTGGAACAGATGAGCCTGGAAACTATTTCCAGACATAATAAGGACAAGAAGGTGTTTAGGTTTAGTCAGCATGGATTTATGAAGGAGAAATGATTGATCAGCTGGGTGGTCTTCTGCAGTGAGATTACTTGCTTGGTGGCTGAGGGGAAGGCAGTGGATGTTGCTTATTGTAGCTTGAGCAAGACCTTTGACGTTGTTTCCTATAAAATGTTTATTGCTGAAGTATGGGCTAGCTAGGTCAGTGGATGGTGAGGTGGATTAAACACTTAGCTGAAGTGCCAGGCTCAAAGGGTTGTGATCGATCACCAGTAGGTTGAGGGAAGTGGTTCTTTATTCAGCACTGGTGAGTTGCATCTGGAGTGCTGGGTCCAGTGCTGAGCTCCCCAGTACAGGAGACACAGACATACTGGAGCAAGGCCAGTGCAGGGCCACAAAGAGGATGTAGAGATTGGAGCATCTTTGATATGAGGAAGAGAGGCTGCGAGAATGTGGAGAAGGCTCAGGGGGATCTTATCCATATGGGTACATACCTGATGGGGGAAGTAAAGAAGACCTGAGATAGACTTTACTCAGTAGTGCCCAGGGACAACACTTGAGGCGAGGGACACTAGCAAAAATAGAGGAAATTTCTTTTAAATACAGGAAGAAACCTTTTTACTGGGAGTGGGGGAAGCGGGTCAAACACTGGCACAGGTTGCCTAGGGAAGTTGTGGCATCTCCATTCTTGGGGTTATTCAGAACCCGACAGGACACAGCCCTGAGCAGCCTGCTGTGGCTGACATTTCTGTGAGCAAGAGGTTGGGCTGGGTGATCCTGGTGCTCGCTGGCCTCAGCAGCATTGGGAGTCCATGGGCTGCAGTGGATGTGTTGCTCAAGACTTCTTGGTGTAGGACAGCTGTTTTGGAATGTCAGGGCAGGCAAACCCTGTAGGCTGCCTGCACAAGGCTGACAGACTGCTTCAAAGGTTGAAGAGCAGGTACCAGGGTCCAAACTCAGGGACCACGACAATGGGCACAACTCCATGGCCTACATTTGCTTCTAGTTTCTGCCTTTGTGCACCCTTGAACTTCAGCTCCGTGCACCAGTTTGCAGTGAGGGATGCTAAATCAGTGCTTTAACTCTTCTTGAAATGCAATTTGAGACAGATGAATGAAAAATGCTGCCTAAGTGTTGGGTTTTGCTGTTACTTGGTGAGGTGAAAATGTTCTGTCAGTCTGGGTACTCACTGATGCTCTCTGGGAGTGCTCAATACCTAAAAGAAATTCCCACTCTCCCTAGTTTTCATTATTCTGGCTCATGCTGTGTATCTCTCTTCCTAAATTGTCCTCTGATTTCTAAATATACCCTTCAGGCAGTGGCTCTTGTTTGGTAAGCAGCTTTCTTGGCATGGTATAATTTTTCCATCTTTACATAAAGTAAGCTGTTTAGACTCTATGGTCATGGGCTTTTGTATAAAACCAGTACCAGCTCAGTAAAATCTTGTGTTGAGGAATATCTGATGCACTGAAGCCCCTAAGTGGTCACAGGAGCAGTTGTTTTGGGTGAGGGGAAACCCAGTACAGATTTCAGCTGAACACTTTCTTTCAGGTTAATTGATGTCATCATGAAGACACTGATCTGAGTACCTGTTGTGGAAAATAAGAAATTGGAATAAATACAATATGTAGTTGGAGGAAAACAACAAAATAATTTTCTGTTTGTCACAGCAAGCGAGGTACCAAGTTGTTGAACCTGCTTCCCCCACTCCAGGCCCACCACTTCACTGTCTAAACATGGGGTAATCTGCCTGAATAGTGGAAGTGTAACCTTGTCTTTGGGGAGGCTGAGAGGAAATTGCTACCATCAGTATTTGTCTGTGCTGATCTGCTGCTCTTGTGACCAGCGGGTGTCTGTTCAGACCTCAGTGCCTTTTAAACTCTGCTTCCTCAGCAAACAATTGGGCCAAAATAACTAGATATCCCAGTGGATTGACTTACGGGTGGATCTGGGCAAGCAGGATTTTTTTTTTCCAGTTCCAGAGATAGCCTGAAATATCCCAAAGTACAGTGATTCATAATAATTTCAGATATTTCTTTCTAATGTCTGACCAGAGTGTAACATCTATGGGACATTGTTTTTAGACTGGTGAAACCTTTTTATCACCTGGGACAAAAGCACTTCATTTCTGTTTTAAGACAAATGAGGAAACCAGAGTAGATCCTCTTCAGCTGGAGATGATGACCCCCCAACCCCAGGCTCCCACGAGAAGGGTGCTCAGAGCAGCGCCCTTGGGGTGTTTGGGGTCAGCTGGCCCCATCTTCTTCTACCTCCTTGGAACTCCACTTGACCCAAAGTGCTTCCCTCCCAGCAGAGGAAGGCCCAGGCTGCTTTGCTAAGGAGCTGCATCGCTCATCTGGAAGGCTGGACCTTTGCAAAATGGAATGGAGGAGGGAAAAAGCTAGAGGATGCTAGAGAGAGGCAATGTGATGCTTAGAGCATTCCTGGGCAGGGAGCTGTGGGGGTCCACATCCTTGGGATGATTCCCTCCTGAGCAAGTGCTTTCTTTCACTTGCCTGATAATTAAAGCTGTCTGCTTCCTCCTCCTGTGCCTGGGCTGGGGAGTCTGGTCCATGTTCTCTCATTTGCTGGAGCTATTAAGTAAATTCAACATGAATTTGAAAATAGCAATAAGATTATTTAAACCACATTTCTCAGCAAGCTTGCTGTTGCTAAAACTCTTCATCCTGCTGTACTTAAATCTAAACCCTCTCTTAATTTGGTCTCTTAGCCAAGATAATTTGACTTTTGAGGGCAAGATGTCAGTATTGTACCAGGCAATGTTGGAGGGTAGGTGATTGCATCATATAGTGACAAAATGTTACTGCATCTTTCTAAAAGTGGAGGCTGTTTCTCAACTTTTCTATTAAAGCCAGTTCATTCTGAATTTTGTATTTTGTGCTGTTAAGTGATACTGTTGATACAGATTTTCTCACAAGAGATGAAATTTGTCTGCCCTTGCACCATGGAGAGAAAATACCATTTACACAGGAAGAAGATCCCTTTTGGTTTCATGGCCAGGAGCATGTTTTCCATCTGGGTTTTAGATGAGCCTTTCTGAGAACCTGTTATCCCAGGACCTCCATTCACACAAGGGAGCTCATAGCTGGTGTCTGAGTTCCTGTGACACCCTCTGAGGAAACCTCCAGATGACCAGAATCAACATATCTGGTTCTTTCCAAGGAACAGGGTCATGTGCAGGGAGCAGTGCTTCACTTTGTGTATGTATGTATTTTTGAAGTGGATTTAAAAAATGCTTGGGCATTATATGTGAACATATGTATTGGTAAAATAACGTAAATTTCCAATATTTATGCAATTAATATCCTCATATTGGTGGTTCCAGTGCCATGCCAGGCAGGTACCCCTTCCCCTTTGTCTGTTGGAGGGTTC